GGTGGGGGCCGGCTGGTTTGCCTTGAAGGGTGTCCCGGATCAGGGTGGGGGTCCCGCTTGGGTGCCTGGCCAGCCTGGGAGAGGGGATGATGGCTGTTTTCAGGCTGGCCACACCCCTTTAGGCTGGCCGGGACTGAAGCTCCCAGCCTCTCCTTTTTTTCTTTTTTTTTTTCTGGGATTTATTTACCTTCTATAATTGAAACATTGTTGCCATCACTGGCGCTCCCAGCTCTGAGGCCACGGCCAGCTGAAAGCAGGTATCTGGGATTTGTTTATCTTCTATAATTGAAACATTGTTGCTTTCGGGCTCAGAGCCGGGCCGCGGTAGGCGGGGAACCTTGGCTTCCTCCATCACTGGAGCAAGCAAGCCTCCTGCTCGCTTCAGCTGCGTGGCTGCCGGCTGCCATCTTGGTTGGCAGTTAATTTGCATATCGCCCTGATTAGGCAATGGGAAGCGTAGTGGAAGTACGGTTAATTACCCTTTTTGTCTTTTATTAGATAGAATGAGTGAAGCCCTGGTCAGGTTACTTAGTTGGTTGGAGCATCTCCTGTACACTAAAAGGTTGCAGGTTCTGTTCCTGGTCGGGGTGTGCACCAGAAACAACTGATCAATGTTTCTCTCTCACATCAATATTTCTCTCTCTCTCCCTCTCTCTTTCTCTATTACTCTCTCTCTCTTTCTTTCTTTTTTTTAAAATATATTTTAATTGAATTTTTACAGAGAGGAAGGGAGAGGGATAGAGATTCAAAAACATCAATGAGAGAGAAACATCGATCAGCTGCCTCCTGCACACCTCCCACCGGGGATGTGCCCGCAACCAAGGTACATGCCCTTGACCAGAATCGAACCTGGGATCTTTCAGTCTGCAGGCCGACGCTCTATCCACTGAGCTAAACCGGTTAGGGCTCTCTCTCTCTTTCTTTCCCTCCCTCCATTCCTCCCTTCCTCTCTCTAAAAACCAATGAAAACATATCCTCAGGTGAGGGTTAAAAAAAAATGAGTGAAAAGGACAAGGTCATGTAGGATTGGCTCAATCACCATAGAATCCAACAACAGAAAAATAACTTCATATTATTCCTTGGATTTATACCTTGGAAGGTCAAGAAAAATAAAAATAAAAAGGTGTTTCAGGCAGAGCAGTTTGAGCATTGAGGTATTACAGGATAGTAACTCAAAATATATAATCCACACTGAGAGCTATCTAAAAATTTTCAGCTCTGTCCTCTTGTTTTATTAAAAGGAATCAGTCACCTTGAATTTCTATTTCTTTTCTCCCTTCTCTGCTCCATTTGGGCTAAGCACCTGGGGAGCACCTACAATCTATATTTTCAGGCTAAACTATCCTGAAATGTCTAATAAGAGGGCGATAAAGCTTTCCCCTTTAAGCAGGGACTCATGAGCACAGTTTTCTCCCACACCCACCAAGCCCAGTTTCTTTCTCCATTTGATTTTACATATCAATGTTGCCCAGAAGTCAAGATGACCAAAAGATGGAAGTTAATATAACCAAATGAGGAAAACTCTTGATTATATTATATCAGGTTGATGGCCTTGCCTGCTTATTAGCATTTAAATCCAGTCCTTATTTGGAGGTGGTAACATTTAAATTCTAACCCACACTGCATGTCTCAGGAATTAGAAAAGGCCATTCTAGCTGTGGTAGTTTTATGAGTACATAAAACATGGACTCGGGCCAGCGAATTACTGGTGTACATCAAACAAACTCCAGAGATTTGACCTTTTATTCATTCAGTGAATAGTTCAATTAAAATACTCCCCAAGTCAAAATAATATGTTGATTATCCTGGCAAAAGATATAGGAATCCAGAGGGTAGTTACAATGTTATGATCAATTAATCTATCACTCTGTCTCTGTCCCCAGTAAATGGGAGCTTCCTTTAAAAGGCTTGTTCAGCTCAATGGCATGTTAATTGGAAAGCTGGTTGAGTGTACTTACTAAAACAATGAAGATATTTGTATTTCAAAACAAGTTCTCTTATTTTAGAATGAACAAGGAGCATTCTCATTTTAAAATTTCTGTCCAGTCCTTTGGGTAGGCATCATTTCCAATCACTGCTAGGCTATATTTTCCCACTATATGTATCCAATTTTTGAAATGGAAAAACTGTTCAAATTATTAAGAGAAAGAAATAGATATTTCTGCAGAAAGGTGACAACTGGAAAACTCCCTTTGAATGTGGACAGTATATTTGGTAGGACATTAACAGACCAGTGCTGAGTCATCATTTCATTGGAACCCCCAGTTCTGATCATTCTCTGGTGTTTAAACATAGCTAATGGCATGTCAGTGGCACATGGTTACTGTGTGCTCGCTGCACTAGCCAGGATTTGGGGATGTTACATAGGCTAACTATCCTAGCTACACTTTCCTAAACCACTCTACCCTCGAAATGATCCTATATGGTATGTTCTTACCAAGGACACGCAGAATGCCTGATTTGACTGGCTCAATGGGAGACTTACATAGATAAAATATTTCTGGAGGTTCTGACTACATTCTTTTAGCCAACAGTGTAAATATGTCATATTGTTGTCTTACGCTGTTGATGGTATTGCAAATTCTGAAACCTTTGTTGCCTCAGGTGAAATACACATACACCGAATGTGATTCTAAGTGTGGAGATAGACTTACAATGAATGGGACTTATTTGACAGTACATTTTTTACCATCTGATTTACACTCTGACTCTCCATATGACACTGGGAGTGAGCGCACCACCTGTATCTCCCCAGGAACGGACTGACAAAGGAAAGCAGCTCAGTGAAAAGCTTCATGATGGAAGTCCAAACCTATAGTTTTAGAAAACGAAGCCTCCAATAAAATATGTAGTTAGTGATTTCGTGATGGGGTGCAGGGAAACTGTGTGCAATAAACAAGTCTGCAACCACAGAAATCATAACTGAGTCTTCTAACGATGACCTTCTATACTTGCATCAAAAGATGAATGTTAAGTCTTGTTGATTCAGAAAGAGGTCAAAAACTTCCCCCAGCAAGAGACTGTGCCTTATCCTAACACAGTATTACGCAAGTGAAGACAAGCCTCTGGAGGTTCATTGGAACATTATGGTATGGGGAATGAAAGGGGGAATATTGACGAATTGGTGAGCGTACCCAGGGTTCTTATGTAGATCAGGTGTGTGGTCCTTGCTTTATGACTCAGACACAGAAATCCTGACATGAGTAGAGTGGAGGTTCTTCTGGAAGGAAAACACGGAATGGCTGGGATGTTGTCAGTCACTTTAGTTATTCCAGGGAAACCAACATGAGAAAAAGCTAAAGGTGATCATCACAGAAGAGATTCAAACTCTTGGCCTCCTAATCACGTTTTTTTCTTTGAGACAGTGACTAACTGGAAAGGCAACTATTACAGAAACAGATACTCTGCCAGGGTGTGTGAAAGATATTTAGAATTCTTTCGCTTCTGGAAGGAAAACACGGAATGGCTGGGATGTTGTCCAAGTCACTTTAGATATTCCAGGGAAACCAACATGGGAAAAAGTTAAAGGTGATCATCACAGAAGAGATAAAACTCTTAGCCTCCTAATCGCATTGTTTTCTTTGAGAAAGTGCCTAACTGGAAAGGCAACTATTACAGATACAGATGTGTTGCCAGGGTGTGTGAAAGATGTTTAGAATTCTTTTGTGTAAGTGTCAGGAAAAAAAGAGCAGACAAATACTTAGCTAATGCTTATTGATCACGTTTTGTGTGCCCAACACTATTCTAAGTGCTTTACTTATTTTTGCTAATTTAATTCACCACAACTTTGAGTTATCTTATCCTCATTTTACAGATGAGAGACTGAGGCACAGAATGTGAGGTAATTTGCATCCTATATAATAAAAGCCTAATATGCTAAGTGTCCGGTCATCCAGTCATCTGTTCAACCAATCAAAGCATAATATGCTAATGATATGTTAAGGCTGCTATGATGTCCTGACCACCAGGGGTCAGACAGTCGACCAGTCGACCAGTCACTATGACATGCACTGACCACCAGGGGGCAGACGCTCCAACCGATAGGTTAACTTGCTACTGGGGTTTGGCCGATTGGGACTGAGAGAGATGTGCTGGATACATCCTGGAGCCCTCTCACAGTCCCTCCCAGCTGGCCAACCGCGCGTCCCTCCCCAGCCCCAATTGTGCACCAGTGGGGTCCCTCGGCCTGGCCTGAGCCCTCTTGCAATCTGGGCCCCCTCGGGGGAATGTCGGAGAGCCGTTTTTGTCCCGACCTCCAGTAGATTATAAAATTGGGATTTGAACCCAGGCAGTCTGACTTCAGTGGCTGAATTGGCTAACTACTCTACTTGGCTCAGGACAAATCTACCCTTGGATTCTAATACAGGCAGAAAAGTAACTCCACAGAGTCAGGAAGCAAAAGAAGGGAAATCTGACCAAGAATGTTGCCAGTTCTAAGGGAGAATTTTGCAATCACTTCACAGTTGCTTGAAGTGGTGGGTATATCAATCTGACCCATGCAATTGCCTTTAATAGGCTACTAATTCATAGGCTTCACAGAGCAATTAGTAGTGTCCAGTCCATTCGTGATTTTTTTTTATGGAGGGATACTGTAGGCTTGAAAGACATCACTGAAAATATAAGAGAATGTATTTGGCATAGTCATTCAAAATTGGAAACACCTAGTAAAAAAGGATAACACTAGAAGACATGGGATTAAGTGTTGATTCAAGATGTATGGTTAAAATTATGGTTCAGAGTCATTTGTCAGTGAAAGGCCTAAAACAGGAGAATTGGGTATTTGCAGGGTTTTTCTGGGTTGGAGTGTGGATTAATAATGGGATTATTTTGGTATTGCTTAGGTTTTCTTCATGGAGATATGGTATTAATTGCTATAGTCAAAGTTATAAGATAAAAAGAGAAACTTTAATTTAGAAAATGATCATGGTAATTTTTAAAGATAAAGAATTTTGAGGTCCCTTTTATAGGAAAAATTTAAAAATTTTATTTTCTAAATAACGGAGGGATTTTAATATTAACCCTCCATTATAACAAGGTCAATTGAGGCTAAGCTCCTGTTGAACATGTTTTGTTGGATGAAGTAGCAGAGAGGAATAGAGAGAGGAAAAAGAAAAGGAGAGGACTTGGCTGGTGCTGGACAATTTTTTTTTTCCCTGTAAAAATGTGTTTTGCTCTTGGCAGGGGTGGGGGTGTGTCTGATACTGAATCCCCTCATTCATAGAGATTGCTTTGCCCGGAGTAATTGTGGAAGTTATGTTTCCTTAAGCCTGGTTATTAGCACCTGGGCATGAGTTTTGGTGAGGCCAGGACAATATGTCAATGAAATAGTCTTTAGACACTAGTCCATTCAATCATCTCTATTTGCCCCTTTTATTCTTCTAGAACTGGTTACATTAAAAAAAAAATACATATCTAGGGAAAGCTTTATCAACCAAAAGCCATTCAGTTTCTTAAATATAATCCATTTCTACCAGCACTTTTGATAGTGGGCCTACTTTGTTTAAAAAGAAAGATTAGAGCCTAGTCAGCGTGGCTCAGTGATTGAGCATTGACCTATGAACCAGGAGGTCATGATTCGGTTCCCAGTCAGGGCACATGGAGGAGGCATGCAGGGGGCAGCCAGTCAATGATTCAATTCAATGATTCTCATCATTGATCTCTCTCTCTCTCTCTCTCTCTCTCTCTCTCT